TTATGGGATCAAACTATTGAACCATTATGGAAAAAACTGGAATCTGATTATCAAAATGTTGAACAGAGTGAAAAAAAATGGTGCACTAGGAAAAAGTATTTCAAACCATATTTAGAAATCCCCAAAAAGCTGTATCCTCCTACATGTTATAAACATGTTCCAAAAAAATATAAATGTGTTCGACCTTTTCCCCCCAATAAATGTTCTTTGCAAAATACTTGTAACAGTGTAAAAAAATATTATGAAATGTGTAAATCTGAGGAAGTAAATGTTCCCTATTTACCTTCCATGTTTTCCGAAGCTATCGCTAATGGAGATTCCCCTTTTAAGGACATTGATGATGTTACGTTCTCTCGGCAAGTGCAAACACACTGTGATTGTCATTCGTCAAATTATGCTACTGTTATTTCTGTATGTGTTTCCTTTTTTGGAACAGTCTTAATTCTATTTTTATTAAACAAAGTAATTTAAACATTTCCACATATACATTGAGATATTTCATTTTATTAATCTAGGTTAATCATCTGTAGTCTTATAATACTACAAGACATGCATATATAAAAAATAAAATTCATTATATATATTTATTTCATAGTTTACTAATCTTGGGTCTATAATGTCTCATAAAAGCATACATATAAAAAGACATAGAAAGCATTTTGACGAAGAAAAGGCACGCGAAGCATATAAAAGAATTATATGTAACAATCCACATTACGATGTTATAAAAAATAATATTTCTTATGAAGTTGTGCAGCAGCATTAAACTACTTGGTGATACAATAAATATCAGTTCCTTAAATAAATTTATGCTTACAAGAATATTTTACATATATAAAATTAATGCAGAATAATAATGATACAAGGTTATGTAAAAATTTTCATGTTAATTTAGTTGTCTGAATAATATACTTATGTGAGCTGTGTTTACTTTTTATACAGAGATATAGTGTATGATATGAATAAATATATCCAATAAATTTTTATTAATTTGGTTAAATCCTAAACCGAAGCAAACTAATCAATAAAAATATTGTGCATTTCCACTGGAACTTAATAATTTATAAATCGAATGGTGATTATTAGAACATAGTGTTCATTTGAAGATGTATATAATAAATATAATTATTAAATAAGTTCTTTATAATTATAGTGATTGTATAAAAATTTGTATTTATTCAGAGTATAGTAACATAACATACATATGAAACAATTCATAAATATACGTAAAACATTTATCGTATTATTCGTAGTTTACATATATTAGAAGAAACTCGAATACTTGAGGCAAACAGAATACGTTGAAGTGATTAATAGTATTATATGTAAAAATTTTATTTGATATAAACAATATGATGAACAATAATTTATTTAAATATGAGGATTTATAAAATATGTAATAACCAAAAGAAATCGTTATAATTACAGTAAATAAATATATAAATATATATTCGAATTCTGTTTTGAGATATAAAAAATTGAAGATTTTATATTTATATTTTATATTCTTCTAATTATATAATTATAATAAAGATATATGAAATGTATTACAAATATAAAAAACATAAATATAACGGATTTGAATAGAATACGTATATATAATAAACAAAAATGGTTTATATATTTTTTGTTTTACTTTAAAATTTTAAACAAAAGTAATCTACATTAAATGATACATATATACGTGCGTGTTTTGTTATTCTTCAAAGCTACTTATTTTCTGTGTCTTATAACAATATTAGCTATATTTTTTACAAACACGTATTTTTTTTGTAGTATTTTCATGAAATACAATTATGTGTAATTATTTTACAGCGAAAGTTAATTAGAAATAGTGTATTTAATTAAATGTTTTCCTTTTTTTGTCCTTGTTTCTCCTATAATTTGAAATATATATATTTTTTTTTTTATGTTACATCAGTGCTTATAAATATTACTAAATAATAGAATCATGTAACATGCAATGTTGCATAGACATGTTTTATTCATAATAAAAGCCGCGTTAATTACAATTTTTTTTACGTTATACTAGAAAACATAGTGCTTATAGTAGGTATATAATACACATATTTTTTGAAATGTTTTTTTCAAAATTATACTATAATATCTGATTAACAACTATGCTTCTTTTTAGTAACTGCCATTATAAGGAAAATATAAACATGCCTAATCTGTTATTATAATCCTAAATGATTACAATGATGAATATAATAAAAGATATGTTATTTTATAAATAACCGATGTATGTATTTTTTTCATTTTAATATGTACTCGGAAATTTTATGTCTGTAAAATACAAATTTATGATATAAACCCATATTTTATGTCTACTCAATGAGACATAAAATATATGTACATATTTTACATACATAGATTCTATTAAATTCCGTCTGAATTCATTTATATACAAGTTTTCTTATTAAATAAATCCTTTACATGAGCTTAAAACATTAGGTATACATATAAACATATAAATTATTTTATACATTGTAAATCAGGAATGTGTTTGTTATAATGTCAATGATATTCTTAAATTTCTTAACAGAAATGTCACCAGTTATATATTAATATATATATATTTAAACGCTATAGTGTTTCTTGTGAAATTAATTTCATGAACTAATATAGACATTCATCCAATATATAGTTTTTGCATTATATGGATCTGTATGAAAAATAAAAACAGTTATGAAATTAAAAAAGTATATTATGAACTGTCCTAAAAATATCGTGAAATATAATTGCAATATATACTTAGTGTAGTTTTCACTTGTATACTTTGATATAGTGAACTCCTATTAATGCTAATAATGGTATATGCACTATAAAAAGTAAATCAAATGTTGTTATAAATATTGTAGAAATATATTTATTTGAAAAATATGGGGAATAACATATATTTATTTTTCTATAATTATATCATAACTAAAAATCTTTATGGTAAAACCAAATAATGAAATTAATATATGACCCCTTCTTAAATTCAATAATATTATATCACCAAGGTGTGTGATCATTTATGATTAATTTATTAATATTATTAACAATAATTTCTATAATACAATATAAATTTCTTCAATAATAAATAAAGCAAATTTATAATCAGACACATATCTCTCCTTTTATACGTATTTTCAATTAAATTACTACATAAATACATACATTAACTCATAGTACTTATAAACCAAATAAAGTTCACATATATGTTCTTTATATCATGATAATAAATAAAATTATAACGGAATCGTATGAAAGAATAAATTAAAAAGACACAATGTTATAATAAAAAAAATTAACTTATATTAAAATAAATCCATATTTATAGGAATAATTGGACATCCGTGTTTTATGCATAATTAAAATTATTTATATTATTGTATATAGTTTAAATGTGTAACTATTGAAATAAACTATAAAACATCACATAAAACTAATATATACATAATATATAGTTTTTACACATAGTGAAATGATAAAAATTTTATGATTTGTAAAATAAATATCTCTAATTATATATTTTCTATAATATATTAAAAGATAACGAATAGACATAAAGCAAAATTCGTGTATTTAAAAATATATTGCATAAAAAAATATAAAAATGTTTTATATTAATTAAAAAAATATATTCAATAAATATATTGAATATGAAACAGGACAAGATCATAAAAACTTTGATTTAAAAAATTATTGAAATACATCCTAATTAATATGGATATTCTCAATAATTATACTAAGAGTGTTATAATAAGCATATAAATATATATGATCTAAGTTATTATTAATACAATTTATCTTGCTCAACACACAGTGCATGAATCATATGTTCCTATAATTGTGAAATGAATAATAATATATCGTCTATTAAATAAAAGAATAAGATAATTATGTATATTTACTTTTTATATATAATCAGGAATACAACAAATATAGTTATGTAAGCATGTCCATAATAAAAAGAAATAAATTTTTCTGCTATATCCAAAAATATAAACACGGCAATACATGTACAATAATTTGGCAATAAAGGACATGTCCTTAGTACTAAGCATAGATAAGAAATCTGTTGTAATTCAAACAATGTTTTTCAATTACTTATGTAATTATTATAAATTTTTGCTAGTTTATTTTTCTTCCAAATATATATAAATGTATTCTGTATGATAATATATTATCCCCTCTTTAGTAAAACTCACATTATATATTTTGAACACATCCTCATTATTTGTAGTAATAGATATATTCAGATAAGACATATTATAATACATTCGTAAAATAATTAAGCATTCCCATGTGAGATGCAACAACAATATAATTGTAACAAAAAATATATGCACCAAACAATAAAATAACTTTAATTTATTATATATTCATATATTCAAAAAGTAATAACTTTCTTTTTTTTTTCTTATTCATTCTTATTAAGTCTAAATTTAAAGCAAATATGCATCATCCCTTTTATTATATATATTCTTTAGTAATTAATATTTATAATATATATAATATTTTTTCTATATATTTAATTATTTAATTTGTTAGCAAAATTTCATCTTATATTTTCTATAATTGCTTAATATGTGCATATGTGCACTAAAATGTATAACGATAATCTATCAATATTTATATTCTGTGATATCTAGTTCAATGATATTTGATAAAGTCTAATCATGTTTAATTATAACATATTATTAGAATAAACTATTTCTTATACTATAAGCATATATACTATGAAATAATAGAACTGTTCTCACCTAGCGCTTCTTTAACACTTGTACATAAAAAAAGTGTTAATACAAATAGTTATAATATAGTTGGTTAAATTATAAAACTACATAACATACCTATTATTATGATTTTTATAATTTT